CCCCAAAACCCCAAAACCCCAAAACCCCATGAGTTCAGATTGAGAAGAATGCTTGAGTGAAGTTGTAGAAATGCAATAATGTGATGATTTTTCTAAATATAATTTTATTGCTTTATTTTAAATGGCCTAAAAAAGGGATCCTTCATAGTCCAATCAGAATAAGTAAAACTCAGATCAAGTGTTTGATCTCTTAAACTTTAAGGGTATATTTTTTGAGAATGAACATCAGAAGTATATCTGCCCCAAGACTGGAGCGCATTTTGAGCCGAATGATTTGTGCCGAAGGTTAAACATGGTCAAACATGATAGAGACAAACTTGATAGAGGTTCTAAGAATTCAATTAGTCATCCTAAGGCAAACATCGAAAGTCTAGTTATTTAAAAGGCAGATGATCTACAAGTGCCTGATGATAATAATAGACTAGATACTAAAACTCAAGAGATGGCTGAGTCTATTTTGTCTAGCTCTTAAAAATAGATGATTTCACCAGAGAAACCCCCAAGGTAAAAAGCCTTAAATAATTAACTAATTAACAACAATGGGGGAATTCAGCCCTTTGAGGAGATAAATCTTCTACCAGGTCAAACTAATATTATTAATCAGACAAACAATCTTCATAATAATAATCCAAGCATCCTAGGAAATGCTAACAATGCAAATATAAACTAATTAAAGCTTAAAGATAGACTCAGAATCGACGGAATAAACTCAGCTCAGAAATCTAAATCTGAAAAATTTAAAAATATACAGAACGATGTTATTGATGATGCTTACAAAGATAAATCAAGTTTTTAAGAACACCCAGCACCTAATCTAGGACCCATTCAAGATTAAAGATTTTCTTAATCAGTAAAATAAAACAATTAAAATATTATTCATTTGAAGTCTATGGAAAAGCTTTAGAATTAACAATCATCAGAGAGCTAATCGTAAAATACTCATTATGGATCTTAGCAAAGAGTCTCAGAATTCCAGCCAATATCTTCCTAGATACATAGTTAAAAACACTAAAATCTCATTTAAATGCAACAATAGCAAAATAGTGGAAATCAGCAATAATTATTTAATAAGACTATGTAACATGCTGGAATCAAGGGAGAAAGTATTAATTCAAAAAGTATGAACGTTATAGATTTAGATTATAAAAATCAAGCACTTCAAAAATTAGATAAAATTGCATAGAAAATAGGCTTTAAGGATAGTGAGAGAAGTGGAAACGCTATCAATACTTAGTAATAATAGATATAAATTGAGATGGAAAAGCAAAAACGAAATAGTACTTCATTTGGTAAAAATATGTCGTCAAGTGTTGCTTAGAATAATCAAGATAGCAATGTTTCTAATTCCTTTTTTAAATCAAACTTCTAGACAAATCTCTCTGGGGGAATTGTTAATAATGGATCATAAATTATGTAGCCAAATAATAACTCTTATAATCAGCAGACTTCATACGTACTAATGCCAATAGAACCTGGTCAATATGAAGCCTAAAAGAAGAAATCTAAATTTAATATAAAGTTGTCAGGTGCACCACCACTTTACCAGCAGAATTCATAAATAGCTTTTGATTAAAATAAAAGGTTTTCAACAGAGCCTGATGAGGTTAAAAAATCATCCAGCAATATCAAGGACGCCTATCTCTAGAGTGCTATTGAGAAGTACAAATAAAAGAGAAAATAGGATATGGGTGGTAAGAATGGAATTATAAATAACTAACGGTAAATTATTCAAAAATTAGCTAATTCTTAGTAAAATAACTAGGTAAGATTTTACTTTCATGATTATATTTATAGATACCTATGATGAGCATGAGCAAATCTAATTTTAAGAGCTTCGATAAGACTGTGTACAATAGTTAAATTTAGATGAATTCTAACTCAATTGCCCCGGATCATAATAGATCTAATACTACAATATATAATAATTAGCAGCCTTAGTTTATGCAAGAAAGAACAAGAAACTCTAAAATTGCAAACAACATGCTTCGAATAAACTAAGTTCCAAGACCAAACAAATAAGTAGGAAATGCTTATTTGAGCGCATAAAGCTTTGGAAGTGGAAGTTTTAACAGCCAAAAGAATCAGCAGACTAGCCAAGTTGAATTGATGCTTTAAACTCAAAATATGAATAGTTTTGGAATCGTTGGGAACAAAAAGGATATCCAAGGTTAATCTTAGCTCTAACATTATTCAACAGCAAACAATCATAGAAAACTAAATTCATTCCAGGGATCTGGCAATAATGGAACGGCTGCGTATAAAGATACTAACAGCTTCCAAACATTGCCTAATCCAAATAAGCAATTCTCTCCAGAGAGGACTAAACAAGTGTTCCATCAGAGAAAACCCTCAAATAACCCAACTGAAAATCCATTATATTTGGCATAGAGACATTTATGAATCTATTTAACCACGAAATATCACTAATTATACTTAATATTTTAACATTGAAATTGTTTCAAATTTCTTTTTAATGGGGTTTTGGGGTTTTGGGGGGATCTCCTTCGAAGGTTTCGAGA